GTGACTCTAAAATTACAGCTAATGTAAAGGGTACTTTCCTCACAGGTTTTATTTGGTAAAGAAAATTATTTGGAATTAGACAAACAAGTATTGTATTAAACAGGATCAATAAATCTATTGGTTTATTTTTTGTCGGCTTTTCATTTTAAATAAGTGATTTGAGTGGATTATGCCATAGAGACCATCATTAGATACAAATTTACCACTTTTCTACAAACCTATGGTTTGGATCTTTGCCATAAATAAGTAACTATATATCTCTAGAAGGATTTATTGACACAGCTTTTTTATTTTAATTTCAGTTAGCCCCATGTTCAAGCTTTATCAGCTAGGTGAAATGTTTTTCATAAAGCCAACAGTTTTAACTCCACAAGCTTCTGCAATGTTGTTGTGTTTTTTGTTTTTTATGTAGTCTTGCCTCTCCTGTTTTAAAGTGTAACAGCCTATTTATCCTGTAGCCTGGTGGTGTCATTTTAGTTTTGTGCAACACTGTTGTAAATCTGTTCATAAAGCATAGTTTCAACAACATTTTTCATTATTACTGGGTTTAAGTATGATTTGGTGAATTCTTGTGCTGGCTAATTGGATTGTTTACAAAATAAACTGTTAAAAATTGGCACAATCATCAAATGTTTCCAGCATTTTTATTTTGACTCCAGATGACACTCTCTATTGTTTTTTGTTTTTTTTCATTTTGGATTTTACTGGGTTGTTTGAATACATTTCTGATCCAAATGTATATTTATTTTATTGTTTATTAAAAAAAAAAAAAACAGAATTCCTGGACGCACCTCCTGGTCGTCTCCCTTTCAGCCTGTAGGGGGCAGCATTACCAAAGCTGTAAAAAGCCAGAAGTTAATTCAGCATTTCTTTTGGAGGAAATCTGAGAAAGACAAAAACATATCATCTTCACATTGAGATGCATTTTTTTCTTTTATTTTACATACTTGTGGTCACCATGCAGAAGAAATAACAAAGAGAATATAAAAGTAAAAATCAGCTGCAAATAGAAACACTTTCATACCAGTATTTTCACAATGACAGCTGGTAGCATAATGTACTGATAGGAGGGGAAGTCCTGCATATTAGGGCAAAGTTTTCTTAGCATTGTATTACACATCCTATCAGAGCAGACTTTCAGTGCTTTCTCTGCTGATAGCCAGTTCATCAGCATACATAAAGTGAGTATCACTGACATAGGATTAATTGTTTTGATAAGGCCTCCGTGTACAGGTTAAACAGAACTGACTGATTTGATACAGTCGAACACTATTTCTTTTAGAAAGGCTTACCCAGCTAGTGGGGCTGATATAGGATTAGTCTGCTGGAGAACATAGGGACCACTTTTCATCATTCTGCCTTATTCTATCTCTGTTTTACAATATTTGTTAGTTCAACCCCTAACTATATGTTCTCGCTTTCATTATTTTGGCATGGAAACTCGGTCAGAGCTCAGCTGCTTCTCTCTTTTCCTAGACAGAGCCACCAAAGGAGCTAGTCTGTTTCTGACAATGTATTTATAGATTAGGGCATATTTGTCCATTGTGTGTGTCTACCTCTTTATTCTTGAACCCCCAGTTGGCCTCAGCAGAAGGTTGCTCACACTGAGCCTGGTTCTGCTGGAGGTTTCTTCCTGTTAAAGGGGATTTTTTTTTTTTTTTGCTACGTTCATGCTCACTGTGACAGATTGTGGTAGAGTGAATGTCTACTGTTGGAAATTCTCTTCAGGGAAGAGTCTGTCCTGATAAGTCAGTGACTAAATGTAGTCAGCTGGCCTCCTTTATTGGAAAGCTTTGAACTAATCTGATTGTATGATCTGATTTTCTCTCAACAGTGCATTGAGATGACATTTCTCAAATGAAATGAAATTGAAATGAATAGAAATTCCAGTTTAAGAGAAACTGTTTCATCATGTTCAGTATTTTTATCTCTGCTGCTACACAAGAGTGTAGTGTTGAAGTAGACTTCAACAACGATAAACATATTAACTTTATATTTCTTTTTTTAGAACACAGTTCAGTCAAACCTGTTCTTACAAAAGAAAAGCATTCTCACTGCATCATATTTTATCACCATAGAAACCACCATGAAGATGTGCTCCGTAGGTTTTCCTATCAATGAATTTGGTACATATTACACAACACTAGCATATTTTGGTCTTATTGTACTTAGTTGTTGGTCTAGTTGGTTAGAGCAGTGAGCTTGTGTTCTGAGTGAGAATGTTGCAAGTACCTGGTTCGATCCCCACAAGCTTCACTCTGGCTCCCTGAGCAAGACCCTTAACCCCACACTGCTCCTCAGGCGCCTCACAATGGCAGCCCACTGCTTCCCAAGGGGATGGATCAGTTGAAGTGAGTGAATTTCCCTATTATGGGACAAATAAGGAATTTAAATACATTACTTACTACTGCTATTTATATTGCCACTGCTTTTAATCTAAATAAAACACCATTTACTTCACTATTGGACTAGATAACTAAAATATCACACATGGAGGTATGCAGATTTAAGATAACCAGTTCTGAAATTTGATGAAAATTACCACATTTGTGAGGTAATGTGTTTTTGTTTTCTTATTATGGTAAGGAAGGATGCTGGGTCTGTTTTTTTTGTTTGTTTTTTTCCAAACATTTCCAATCAAACCGATTTCTAGACTTTATTTCAAATCAGTATTTTTCTGCCTTTGATCTCATAACATTTAGTGACACACGTTATAATATGATTTATTTTTAAGTTTTAAATCTTGCTCAGGAGTCCATCCTACTGAAGAGGAATAGAGCCACTGAGAAAAAAAAGTAAAATGATGTTTAAATTTTATTGCAGTTTACTATGAGAAAAAGTCAAAATTCAGACTTTAATCTTAGAATTCAGACTTTTTTCTCAGAATTCTGACTTCTTTCTCAGAATTCTGATTTTTTTCTCAGAATTCTGACTTTAATCTCAGAATTTTGACTTTTTTCTCAGAATTTTGACTGTAATCTCAGAATTCTGACTTTTTTCTCAGAACTGTGAATTAATCTCAGAATTCTGACATTAGGCAACTTTTTACGTGCCTGAGGGGTACCTGGTGATGCTATTTCATTAATGGAAGAGCAGAAGGTGATTAAAACAAAAGAGCTGAGCTAGTCTATAAAACAGACATGGCTACAGCTTGATACTAACATGTTTGTTAGCTGTTACATTAAAGTCAGAATTCTGAGATTAAAGTCAGAATTCTGAGTGAAACAGAAGTCTGATTTTTTTCCCATTTTAAACTGAAACAATATTTAAAAATCAGTTAACTTTATTTTTCTTTTTTTCAATGGCCCTAATCCTATGAAGGACCAACTCTGCCATATTTAAAAATAAATACAGAAATAAATAAATGCTCAATAAATGTATAAGCATACAATTAATTGCCAACAAAAAAGTGAGACATAAATGTATATAACTCTTAATTAGCTTCTTTATTTATTTGCCTTTGTAATATTTACCTTATTTATTTTTTTGTCCTTTATAATCTTCAACTTTATTTTTTAATTACTTATATTTTTAAGTATTTATTTATGTGCATGTTATAATATTTTTGTCTGTTTTATTCTTTCTTTGTATTTTATTACCTTAGTTATTTCTTCGCCGCTGTTTATTTCTCTCTGCCCTTTTTACATTTCTCTATGCCCTTTTTACATTTCTCTATGCCCTTTTTACATTTCTCTCTGCCCTTTTTACATTTCTCTATGCATTTCTGTCTCATTATGCAAATGAGGAGGGGGTGTGTCCTAGAGAGTCAACTTCTGCTCATTGGTTGGCTTGGCGGTCCATCTTCTTAACTCACAGAGCTCAGAGTACTAAGTTAAATGTTCTCTTTTCTGTTGCTGTTGTTCAATAAAAGTACGTTTTAAGATCATTTGAGGCGAGAACCTTATACTTTTAAGCATCACTATATGGCCCATTCACAGATTTAATGCGTAATTTAAAAGAAAATGTGACGAACTTGAGAGGACCGTGGCAACCAGCAAAGCTCCGAAGCTGACGGCAGCCAGGTCTAACCACAGCCCATCTGCAGCGGCCCTCTCTCGGCATAACCGTGTGTGAAGCGTGTTGGTTAGCATTTTACTACATCGGTCGAATCTACAGGAGGAGAGTCTGATGTCGAGTCTGAAGTCATTAGAACTTGAGTAGGGACTTTGCCAAACTTTGCCAAATACAACAAAAAATCGCCATCATAGCCTGGCTATAGACCTGGCTGCCGTCAGCTTCGGAGCTTTGCTGGTTGCCACGGTCCTCTCAAGTTCGTCACATTTTCTTTTAAATTACGCATTAAATCTGTGAATGGGCCATATGGTGATGCTTAAAAGTATAAGGTTCTCGCCTCAAATGATCTCAAAACGTACTTTTATTGAACAACAGCAACAGAAAAGAGAACATTTAACTTAGTACTCTGAGCTCTGTGAGTTAAGGAGATGGACCGCCAAGCCAACCAATGAGCAGAAGTTGACTCTCTAGGACACGCCCCCTCCTCATTTGCATAATGAGGCATAAATGCATAGAGAAATGTAAAAAGGGCAGAGAGAAATAAACAGCGGCGAAGAAATAACTAAGGTAAAAAAATACAAAGGAAGAATAAAACAGACACAAATATTATAACATGCACATAAATAAATACTTAAAAATATAAGTAATTAAAAAATAAAGTTGAAGATTATAAAGGACAGAAAAATAAATAAGGTAAATATTACAAAGGCAAATAAATAAAGAAGCTAATTAAGAGTTATATACATTTATGTCTCACTTTTTTGTTGGCAATTAATTGTATGCTTATACATTTAATGAGCATTTATTTATTTCTGTATTTATTTTTAAATATGGCAGAGTTGGTCCTTCATATAATCCTCTTCAGTACCATCCAACTTTAGTTTCCTACAAATAGCTACGTAATCAGCTATCTGGTCTGTGATTGGATGTTGACCCGCCAATCATCCAATGTTAAGGACAGAAAAGCCTGAGTTTACGCTGTGATTCGACAGAAACCGAGTCGTGATCATTCGGTCTATCCGTGGGTGGTTAGGCTCCCTAATTTACGTTTTTGTTTTTTTTAAACCTCTTTGAGAAATATTCCACCGTGTCAGATCGTTGGGTAGCTACAACGAATCTATCATTATTCCCCCATTTCTGGACGTTAAAGATTTTTCTTCGGGTTTTTTTTTTCTCGTTGTATGTGGATGTGTGTGAGGGGAAACACTCCGCTCTGACACCGGGGATATCCCCCCAGCCCGTTCGCTCCAGCATTGTTTTCCCAGGCTAGGCTAACTCGGCTTTACGGGGGGTGGATTTCTATCTTCTCGGCCCTAAGGAGAAAACAAATACCATGAAATTTCGTCGGACTGTGATAAGCCAAGGAAAAAGAGCCGACGAGGGAGAGGACGACGGGCCAGCGGGAGAGTTTCGCTCAGACGATCAGCTAGGAGGTGAAAAGTAGAGCAGTTTTATCGATTAAGGAAGTTGATTAGCTCGCTCCACTTCAAATGTGTCGCCTTATCACAGAGATTCATTAGAAGAGGCTCGGTTATTTATAGAAGTTACGTTTCAAATAACCCACCATACTAATGCTGAGCTAGTAAAAAGCCCAACGGAAGCTAACCAGCTAGCTTAGCGTTAGCTAGAAAGTCGAAGGTTGTAAACAAAGGCTTCCCGGCTACGACATCAACCCCCCTTTTAAATAAGCAGTGAATCTCATCAGACATGGATTTAAAGACTGCGGTTTATAACGCCGCCAGGGACGGTAAGCTCCGCTTGCTTCAGAAACTATTGGAGAACAAAGATGGACACGAAGTGAGCAAGCTGATGGGGGAGAAGACGAACGGAGCCACTCCGCTGCTGATGGCCGCTCGGTACGGCCACCTGGACCTGGTGGAGTACCTGCTGGAGTGCTGCTGTGCTCCGGTGGAGGTAGGGGGCTCGGTGAACTTTGATGGGGAGACGATAGAGGGGGCGCCCCCTCTGTGGGCAGCTTCGGCAGCCGGTCACCTAAAGGTGGTCCAGTCCCTGCTGGGACACGGAGCCTCTGTGAACAGCACGACCCTCACTAACTCCACGCCCCTGAGGGCAGCCTGCTTTGACGGGCACCTGGACATCGTCAGGTACTTGGTGGAGCACAAAGCTGACCTGGAGGTGGCGAACAGACATGGCCACACGTGTCTGATGATCTCCTGTTACAAGGGCCACAAGGAGATAGCGCAGTACCTGCTGGAGAAAGGGGCGGATGTCAACAGGAAAAGCGTCAAAGGTCAGTTCACAACCACCTACATTACATTCTTCTGCCTATTTTGTGGCTTTGATATTGCTCCTGCTTTTTTTTATTACCTGTTTGATTATATATATTGATTAGGGATGCACAATATAATCGGCCCCCTATCGGTATCGTCCTTAAAACTGAATATTGGACATCGGCCACCCCACCGATATTTAACCCGATATTTGATCAGCTTCTGAGTTTCTAAAGTCTAAAAAAAAAAGAAGAAAATACTACTTCTTCTTCCTCAAAAACTTCTTTTTTACAGACTTAAAAACTTCTAAAGACGAGGGAAAAAATATTGATACATTAAAATATCACAATATCTTCATATGCTGATATATTGCCATTTAAAAACACCATATCAATCTCTTTTACTAATGAAATATTGCTATATGTCATCGTTATGCTACGAAATCCCCCGAAAATTCACGAAATGTTGCCATATTTTTATATGTTGATATATTGACGCGGTATCGATTAGGGCTGGGCGATATAGAAAAAAAGCTTATCGATAAAAAAAAAAGCATATTGATCGATATCGATAATTATTGAAAAGATTTGAAACCATATTTTATGTGCAGCTCTGCCTGGACTTTTTATAATATTGCTAAATGATTTAATTTTAATAACAAACACAAACACAGACTTCCAATTAAATCTTTATTTAACCAACTTTTTTAACCATAACAGAATTGTTTTAAAGAAAAATAACTTAAGAGACCTGAGTTATGTTATTAAATACTGACAAAGAATAAACTAAAGTGACCAGAAAAGTGACCAAAATAAATATAACAAATAAATAAATGCCCTCCCACCGCCGCCCCCGTTTCCTGCTTTAACCTGAGTTATTACTTTGAAGTTTCTGGCCCCTCAGCGTTTTTCTCTCAAATGTTAGAACTACGTGGGAAACTGCCAAGAACTGAAAATATATATATATTTTCCCGAAATTCCCGAAGATTCCTCGGAGGAGAGCCGCGTCGGGGCCTACACAGCTCGTACTCCTGCGGGTGTGAGCGGCTGAGATGATAAAAAAAAAAAAAAAAGTTGGTTGTGTTATCAGACTTAGTTTTCACTGGTTCCCTAAACATTTTACAGATGACTGTGGTTTGTTTTTGGTCCGACTTGCCATGACCAAAATACTACCAGACTGCCGAACTACAAAAACCTTCTTTGAAACAATTTCCTCCGCCTCTCCTTGCTGCGACATCTTCATGTGCTCTGTGTTGTGGTTTGAGAGGGCGGCGCTTGGTGACGGCGTGCCTGGGTCCGCGATTGTGATTGGTTGGGAGGAAGCAGTGACTAGCATAAACCTACATGCTAGGCTACAATGAGAAGGAAGGAAAACTGCGTTTCTTTTTTATCGAACTTTTATCGACCCTCTTTTTTTCTATTGCGCCACACGTCTATCGATCGATATATATCGTTATTGAATTATCGCCCAGCCCTAGTATCGATCTATTTTACTAACAAAATCTCACAAGAATTTGCAAAATATCGCGAGAGTTTGTAACAGAATGATGAAAAATTTCACAAGATTTTGAAAGTAAAATAGATCGATACCGCGTTTTTAAAAATCTGTTTGATATCAGCATATGAAAATATATTTTAGTATATTATTTTTCAAAGTGTCAGAAATGGATAACAAAACTGCTATTTTCAATGACTACTTATTTTTGTCCAGCTTTAACATCGGTATCGGTTATCGGCTACATAAGTTTTAAAATATCGGCATATCGGATATCGGCCAAAATCCCAATATCGTGCATCCCTAATATTAATTATTGTTAAATTATTGCAGCAAGAAGGTTCTTGGCTCCCAGCCCGGGCTCTTTCTGCATGTTTGCATGTTCTCCCTGAGCATGCGTGGGTTCTGTCGGGGTACTCTTGGTGTTAGATTAATTGGCTTCTCTAAAGTCCCCTTAGGTGTGAGTGTGTGTATGTGTGAATGGTTGTTTGTCCTGTTTTTCTCTGTGTTGCTCTGCGATGGACTGGCAACCTTTCCTGGATGTACCCCGCCTCTCGCCCGTAGACAGCTGGAGATGGGCACCAGCACCCCTCGTGACCCCACTCGGGACTTGGCGTGTTAGAAAATGGATGGATGGATCCAATACAATTAGATGATTAGATTATAGTTGCACTGGATCACAAAAATCTTATTTATCTTATGATAGGAATTAGTAAAATTATGCTTAGGAGGGGAATCATTACATAACCTGAAGTATAAGAAAACCAACTAAAAGCAGAGGTGTCAACTAAGTACAAATACTGTACTAAAGTACACTTTTTAGGTATCTTTACTTTACTCCGTTATTTTTATTCCTACTTCTGACTTCTTTTTATTACATTTTCACACAAGTATCTTTATTTTCTATTCCTTACATTTTTAAAACAAACGTTACTGGTTACCTTTGGCTTCGGTTTTATGTTTAAAAATATATATATTATGATGTTTGCGCAATCCAATGCAGATCATTGGCGCCATCCACATCTAGTTAAAACTAGTGTAATTGGATGAGTCGTGTAACGCAAACATTCATTGGTTAGCTAAAGGAAATGATCAGAAGCTAGCAGGTGTTCTTCAAATTGTAAACGTGAATTGTCTATGCCATGCTACAATGTTAGATTCAGAAAAAGATGTTGAAATGTCTGAAAGGTCGGACCCAGGCAATGGCGTATCGGGAGACGGAGACCAACAAGACCTCCCTCCTCCTTGGCTCTATCTCCAAGAATTTTTCAAAATAGTCGAAAAATTGAGCTTTCAATACATATAGTGGCATCTGGCTATTTTTTGTTTGTTTTTTTAAGGTTACTTTATACTTTAAGTAGTTTTTGGAGGACATACTTTTTCACTTGAGTAAAGAGGTCAAGTTGATACTTCAACTTTTACCAGTTTGTTTTTAAACTGTAGTATCTATACTCCTACTTAAGTAACAAATATGTGTACTTTTGACACCACTGACTAAGAGTAACTGCTTTTCTGAGCCTCTTATGGGGCTGGCCATTAAGGCTTTACAAAACTACCAGTTGAAGGTTTTCATTTAAGGCTGAAACAATGAATCAGATTAATTTTGATAAAACGATTATTGAAATAATTGTCCACTAATATAGTAACCGATTAATCGTTAACTGGAGTGTAGAGACTCTAAAACGCTCTTTTAGCTGACAGAGCGACTCACTTAGAGCAGTAATTATAACAGAATTGTAAAAAAAAAAAAACTATATATATATATATATATATATATATATATATATATATATATATATATATATATCTCCATCAATATGCTCTATCTAGAACTTATCACGTCAAAAAAAGTTTTTATTTTGGGTTTAATTTCGTTTAAAAAAATCTCCTTTAAGAGACCTTTGGCTATCCGATTATTCATCAACAAAATAATCGACAGATTAATAGATTTGCAAAATAATTGTTAGTTGTAGCCCTATTGTGATGCATTCAAATGTTTTTTATTAAATATCATTCAATAATAAAACCACAGGAAGAGGAGACAGAAGCAAGCTGCTCCTTGCTTTTTCTTTTGACTGTTTTGAAACATGTGTTTGTGCTTTGCTCAGTAGCCATGTGACAGTACTTGTCTGGTTTTCGACCTTTCCCGTCACAATCTTCTAGGTTAATAGAATATAACTATTTTTGCCTTTCTGGGTCAATAAAGGCCTTTTCTATTACCACCGCCAGGGAGGTTATGTTTTTAAGTAGAGTTTATTTGTGTTTTTCTGTCTATCTTTTTACATGATAGCTTGAAAAGCCATCAACGGCTTTTTATGACACTTGAACCAAAGATGAACCTCAGACCAAGGAACAACCCACTGTAATTTGGTGATTAGCCAAATCATAATCCGGATGCTGTAATGTTTTTAAAGGATTCTTTTATATTATTTGGTGGAACAAGCTGCCCCCCAGACCAGGGGGAGGCAGCAGTGACAATTAACAGCTTCAGCATCAGACTTAAAGTCCACAAGTATTATTATACTGAAGACAAAAACACAGGCAGAGTGAGTCATGCCTTGCTCAAAGTCTCGATCTGCTGATCAAACCAGAAAGCAGAGTGAATGAGGAAGGTGAGAGCAGAACAAACACCAGAGGCTGTAGACACATGCTAGGCCTTATTAATAAACATATGAAAGGATTTAAAGGAGGTTATAAGCAAAGGTGCTCCTCATGCCAAGAAACAATTCATTAAAATTTGGTCATGATCCAGATCATGAGTGACTTTTAACTATTGGTGTTAATCACAATATTGGGCAAAGTTTCCTGCTTGGCAAAGTTGCGCACACTTCAAGTAGATATAATGAATAGCATCAAGAACAGAGATGTGCAAAATGACTATCATGAAACTGACAAAAAAGGGAACAATGGAAAAAAGTTGCAGGCGCAAGTATACACACTTATTAAGCTTGTTGGGAGCAGTGGTGGTTATAAAGTCCTCCCAGCTGCTGGGAATAACAGATGTTGTCCTATTGTTTTCCACCACACCAAAAAGCATCATTAGCCTAACTGTGCTGTCTTGTTGTTCTGACTTTGGGTCACAGGTAAACTCGGGTAACAAATATTAAGACTAGGATTCCTCCTCATCCACAAGCATGTGGCGACAGTAGGAAAGACTCGTCACTTTAAAATGGATTGTTTTTATATAGGTGCTATCAGATAAAAAAATAATAATAATAATAAAGTCATAAATCACAGCACAGCCAGGAATCGAGCAATTACTCAATGTTGAAATACCTGCTCAATCAGGAAGCATATACTTGGCTACATAGTTGGAGTTCATAGAAATCACAAAGTAGTTGTTCTTCATTTCTAGAATAAATTAAACTGCTACCTTTATGGAAAAAAACAGCTCCTCACTTTCTTGGACATGAGGAGTTCACAAAATCAAAAAATGTTATTAGCCATACACAAGTAAAGTCAGATCAGTGCACTAAAATGTGCCCATAAACACAACTAGTGGTTCTAACCCATTACCACAGACATTGTCATACAATACACAGTAGGTGAAGCTATGACATATTTCTGAGCTAAATGACTCAGCCAACTAACATGAACTTCTGGTTTCACAGTGGAAAGCTGCATTCAGGCTACGTCAGCTCCTCTGTAAAACTGGGTGTGTCTAAAGAATCAAAACTTTCTCTATTTTTATTTTATTTTTTCTCCTTAGATGCCATTTCAGAAAGACTGAAAAAGAAAACGGAGTTGATTTGTATACAGATTCAAAACATTGCGAGCGATGCAAAGCTTAAAATAGGCTGACCTGTTTGGATCAGTGACGAGTTAAAGCAGGAGCTACTTGAGTCTGTCACAAGCCATCTTCATGTAGATCCTTCTCTGCACAACACTTAAAAACTTGCAAGCAGAGACATGCACTTGCTTGGCATATAAAAAACCTTTTATACACAGTTACATGTTGCTCATCTTATAATCAGTGTTCTGGTTTTGTTCTGCTCAACCTGCAGACTTTTACACTTACGAGCCATTTCTGCTTGGAAAAAAAACATTGTCCAAGTGCTTGTTAATCAAAAAATGATTAGGAGTCAAAAAAATCTAAATTACCTAAAATGGAGCAAATAGTTACATTGCTGTCATCAAAGTGGATGATTCAGTTTCTCCACAACCCGAGAGTGAAGAATCTTAACTTCTGCTTTGAAGCATTTCACAATAACCCAGAAGTTTCCCTCGCTGGCATTTTAAAGAAGTAAATCTCTTCATATTTATTTAGTCTTTATGTAAAGTGTTGTCTTTTCGTGAAAAGGCTCGTTTATGTGGATCGACTTATGTGAAAGGGTGCAGCAGAGGTCGATGCATCAATCCTCTTGTTTCAGAATATTGCTTGTTTTTAATTTTGGCTCTTTAGTTTTTTTTTTTTTTATTGGTTGGTTGTTTTGCATGCACAGTATAAAGTTTTGGTCTTTGCAGTCTAGATTACACCATTTGTCCCTGACTGATGTTCTGGATTTTATGAAGTTTTAAGTGTTTTTTGTTTTTTGTTTTTTTTAAGAAAAAAAAATTTGAAGTAGTTTTATAATAATTGTGAATAATTTTCACAGGTTAAAAAACAGCGATTTTGGCCCTAGCATCATCAATGTTTTTGCTGTATTCCCCTGCATTTGTTACAAGAAGCTGCAAAAACATCATCTATATTTTATTAAATTTTTTTTTTTTTTGCTCAATTCCACTGAGGCCCAATTTGTTGGTCTTGCTTATTTAGGGTTTTGCTGGGGACTTCTAGCCTTGTTTGCTTCTCTGATTAGTGCGCTGTGCTTATAATTTGTGCTTGACCATAAATACCAACCAAAGTGAGGCAACATTGTTTTTGTTGATGTTCTGATGTGGATATAAATAACAGACTGACTGACTCTTCCATCAGGCAACACCGCGCTCCATGACTGTGCAGAGTCAGGTAGCCTGGAGATCATGCGAATGTTGCTGCAGTATGGTGCCACCATGGAGCGGGATGGCTACAGCATGACTCCCCTCCTCTCTGCCAGCGTCACCGGTCACACTAACATCGTAGACTACCTGACGACGCACCAGCAGGTGGGTCTATGATGCGGCGACTGTGCAGTATGAAAATATGCACTTTTGTCTTTTTGAATCATTTACTAAAGTGCCGTGTGGTTTCCTTTGCAGACAAGTCACACGGAGCGCATCGATGCACTGGAGCTTTTGGGAGCAACATTTGTTGACAAGAAGAGGGATCTGCTTGGAGCTTTAAAGTACTGGAAGAGAGCCATGGACCTCAGATACACGGACAGCAACAACGTTGTTCAAAAACCAGAACCCAAGCAGCTGATCATGGCCTATGATTATGCCAAGGAGGTTAGTTTATTACTTTAAAAGGCTGATTGTCAGGTTTTAAAGGGCGCATGGTTGAACCAAAGAGAATGTTTTGCATTGATTTCAGTAAAACCATCTAGTTTTTATGAGGACAAATTCTCTAAATCTTCCCTTTAGGTCACTAATGGGGAGGAGCTGGATGGGTTGATATCCGACCCGGATGAGATGCGCATGCAGGCTCTGCTCATCCGAGAGAGAATCCTCGGACCGCAGCATCCAGACACCTCCTACTACATCCGATACCGAGGGGCCGTCTACGCAGACTCTGGAAACTTTGAGCGCTGCATCAACCTGTGGAAGTACGCACTGGAAATGCAGCAGAGCAACCTGGACCCCCTGAGCCCCATGACCACCTCCAGCCTGCTGTCGTTCGCAGAGCTCTTCTCCTTCATGCTGCAGGACAGGGCCAAAGGGCTCTTAGGGACATCGGTGTCCTTCGAGGACCTGATGGGGATATTGACCAAGAGCGTGTTAGAGATTGAGCGAGCGGTCAAACAGCTCGGGCCGATTCCTCCTGACCCGGCTCAGCTCAGTAAGGCCCTGTCTATAATCCTGCACCTCATTTGTCTTCTGGAGAAGGTGCCTTGTTCTGCTGACCAGGATCATTCAAAGAAGGAAACCATCTATAGGTATGTGGCACATATGAAAAGTCACAACATTCTTTTGTTGTGACTTATTTTTTCTTTTTTTCACTGACCCACATAGTGTAAATGACTATTATCTGCTCTCCAAAAAAGTGGGTCAGTGTAGCTTTCCTTTCCTCCGGAGCTTTTAAATTTCTCTCGGTCAGTTCCACCGAGAAGATTATAATTCAGTCTCAACCTCCAGATTGCCTTCAATCAGATTAATGACTCATGGTCATTTCTGAGTGCATTTTGACTCGATGTTGCCTTTTTTTATTTTCACCACCCTTCTAGGTTCCTGAAACTCCAGCCGTGCGGAAAGAACGGCTTCACCCCTTTGCACCTGGCGGTCGACCGCAACACCACCTGCGTGGGCCGCTATCCTGTTTGCAAGTTTCCCTCCCTGACAGTGGCGTCCATCCTCCTGGAGTGTGGAGCGGATGTCAACAGCCGGGACGAAGACGACAACAGGTCTGCTTTTCAACTGAAACACTCTTGTAAAAGCATCAATGCATCTCAAGTGTAATTATTTTTTTTTTATGGTATAACCACAGGATCATGTTTATAAATGGAGCTTTATGTGACAGACAAGATTTCTTGCGTCCTTTAAGTTTTTAGATATTATTTAAGGTTAATCAAAAAATATATCCTGATATGAGGAGCCCTAAATTTTGATAATGAAATTAGGGCTGAAACAGTTAAGATTAATTGTGAGTTTTTAATTATTTAACTAATCGAGAACTAATTTAGTAATTGATTAATCGTTACCTAAAGCATAGAGACTCTAAAACATGCCTTTAGCTGACAGAGCGACCCACTTAAAGCAGTTATTATATCACCATTCCTCAAGTCGAAGAGTTTTTTTAGTTTTACTTGGTTTAATTTCATAAAAAATAAATCTTAAAGGAACCTTTTGCTTTTCAATAATTAATCGAGTAATCCTGAAAATAATAGACAGATTAATTGATTTACAAGATAATGGTTAGTCGCAGCCCTAGTTGAAATGCTTTTCATTTATTCTGATTTATATTGTGCTGTTTTACAAATGGATAAAAACAAAAGTCAACTTGTTGAAGTGCAGTTAAAGGTTCTATCTTTGGAACTCTGTATATTTACCCATAACTATACAGCAATGCGTTTATTTATGCGGTTCACGCATATAAACCCTGTTAAACTGACCAATGTGTGAGGTATAGTAGTAGCCATTAAAAATGTCCCCACTTTCCTTGATGGGCCCTTGGCTGGTCCCCTAAGATTCCTTTTTAAAACGTCAATCTTTGCACTAAAATATTCTATCATGATTTGCTGACATTAAGATCTAAACAGAAGCATCATTTCCTTGTCAGAAGCTGTAATTCAGTGAAAGGGTGGAGTCGGAGTAAAAAAATATGCAAGAGAGGGTCACTCGAGTGGCTGGAAGTTGGCTGCCATTCAGCTGGCGTTTGACTGCGAAGGGCCATTTTGAATGGCTGCTGCTTTATAAGTTAACAATATCAAAAACAATTAAGGTTACAATGTGAGAGACAGAAAGCAGATTTAAATTCTATGTTTTGCCTCAGACTTGAATCTGAGTGCAGCCTGTAACTCAGTCTAACCATTTGCCTGTTGTTTTTCCCCAGCCCGCTCCACATAGCTGCCTCTAACGGTCACCCTGACATCATGAACCTGCTCATTTCCAATGGGACTCACTTCGACAGCACCAACGCCTTCCAACAAACCGCCTGCGACCTCCTGGACGAGAAGGAGCTGGCCAGGAACGTCATTCAACCCATCAACCACATCACGCTGCAGTGCCTCGCTGCCAGAGCCATCATCAAGCACAGCCTGGGCTATCGGGGAAACATCCCCGAGAAGTTGGAGGCCTTCGTTTTGCTCCACAGATAATGATTGTACAGAAAGGGGGTGCAGCGGACTGAAAGGAGGAGCAGGAGTTTGACCGCCATAGAGGTGATGGAATACATCGAGGAGATTCAGACGTTGTTTAAAAAAAAAAACAAAGACCGTTATTTGGGGTTGGTTTGCAAGAAGCGGTTACTAAATGCCCAAATTAACTAGGATGAACTGAATTTGCCGAAAGAGCCGCAGTTCTGACTGCTCTTGTTCTACGGGATGTATTGGAAACATGTTGCAACATGGATTATAAACGGTTTTTTTCTTAACTGAAACAGAGGAATTCTCATATTTTTGCTTTTTTTTTTTCATATTCCACAATGCTATTTATTGAATGAAACTTGAGAGATTTTTCTCCATGCTGGCTCCAATCCAGCTGCATCATCACCTGCTTCTCTCCTCTCAAATCTCCAGGATTTGCTGCAAACGCCGGGGCTTCAGGTTATCACTATTTTTATTTTATTTTTTCCCCTCATCCTCATACTGTTGCCAACAAACCTGGACTCCTTATTTTATTTTTTGTACATTAACACACATTGGGTTTTTGTTCCTTTTCTTGAAATCTGGAGATCTGTAGGTTAGATTTTACAGTCATTTGTCTTTCCCACCCTGACATGTAACAAAGCTTTACGAGAGGCGGGTTTGGTTTGGTGTGTGTGAACACCGTAAGTGCTTTATTTTTCCTATGCACAGGCTGGGCTGTTGGAAAGAGACTGTTGTATTCTGTGCCGGCGCTTTGTCTGTGCAATATCTCATGGGGATTTTTTCGTTTACTCCATTGCTTCCTTTCGTCACCCACCTACTCAGGTGGAGGTGAAACCATTATGCTGACTTTGAGAAGAGTGAATGATATTTTTATTTTTATTTTACTTTGGAGGTGGTGGTGAATGCTGTGCGGGTGTGTTTGCCATGCGTTGTTTCTTGTATGCACAGTGTTTTAATCGAGCATAGACAAACTGAGAGCGGGAGTTTAATGTATTGGCGCCCCTTGAAGATTCTTTATTGCACACGACTGCCACTGAGAAACCGCAGGGGCCCCAACTATTTACAGTACACAAAAGTGACCTCTAGACTTCATGTGTGGCTAATCTTTTTAAACGGTTGAATTTGTTTTTTTTTTACATTTAACTCCATCGTTAAAAAAAGCATAAAAGTCCAGGTTTGCCCCGCTGTGCATGTGCAGCAGCGCCATTAGCTCTCATGACGACTTCCAACTGCAGCTGGTTCATCTTGTAAGACTGAAAAGCAAAGGGAGTGAAAGAAGATTTCCTCGATACACAGATTAGTAAAGCTTTGTGAACATCATATTTGCACATTTAGCTCAAGGCGTGTGGGCGGAGAGGAAGACAAAAAAAAGGGCTTTTCATAATTTGTAGGATTTCATATTGCAGTTCAAAACCTGACTAAATGTACTAGGGCACCCAGGGCAACTTGATTTGATCTGCACTTTACTACAGCTGAGATTAAGATTTGATATGGCATTAATCAAATTCATGTCTTAATTACCAGTTTGACAATAAAACCATGTTGCACATGTATCCTGGACCAAATCTCTTTATTTCTAAGCTTTGTCATCCTTGAGTAGAGAAAAAAAACAAAAGGTTTTACTGGTGTTTAATTTTGGATATCTGTTTCATATAGTTCTCACTCTCTGCAGAACCTTCTTGGATTAATAAAACTAAATCAGCAGTTTTACTTTCCAGGGGTTAAAGTCTTCAATCGGGAGAAATGTATTCAACTACAGGTCAGCTTAGTGCACATTGCTGCTTTCCGTTATTAAATATGAAAAATATTTCAGACCAGTAAAAAAACAAATTTACCATGAAAATATAATTGCATATACAGTGGGTATGGAAAGTGTTCAGACCCCTTTAAATGTTTACTGCTTCATTGCAGCCAATTGCTAAAATAATATTTAAAAAAAAAAAAAGTTCATTTTATTTCTCATTAATGACGCTCTGCACCCCATCTTAACAGAAAACAGAAATGTGGAATTTTTTGCTAATAAAAAAAGAAACTGAAATATCCCATCATCATAAGTATTCAGACCTGTTGCTCTGACACACATTTAACTCACATGCTGCCCATTTGTTCTGATCCTCCTTATGATCAATCTGCTCCTTCATTGGAGTCCAGCTGTTTTTAATTAAACTAATTGGACTTGATTAGGAAAGGTACAGCCTGCCTATATGAGACATTACAGCTAACAGTGCATGACAGAGCAAATGAGAATCATGAGGTCAAAGGAGCTGTTTTTTTTTCTGCCAAGATGGGTTACTGAGTGTACATTAATGAGAAATAAAATGAAGATTTTTTTTATTTTAGTAATTGGCTGCAATGAAACAGTGTAAAAAAATTTAAAGGCGTCTGAATACTTTCCTTACCTGCTGTATGACGGTCAAAGAGCAATGAGTTCACTCTTTAAGGCTTTTCTAAGTATCGCCAAGGGGGAAAAATGTTAAACAATTTGTTCTTTAAGGCATGAGGATGTTTTGCTCTGCACTAAGCTGCCTTTGGTTTGTGGAGACAATAGATCCTACAAATAGAAAACAGCAGCAAGTATCTGAAGGTTGGGCCAAGGAATTGCATGTGTTCTGGTAAAAAAGTAAGTGTAAAACTATTTTCACCTGCATGCAGGAATTGCTGATCTCACTGTTAAGCTGTTTGTGCACTAAAGCAGCAAGCTGGTCTGGACGCAATTCCTCCCCATCTACAGCTGGACCATCATTAAGGAAAAAAAACTCTCGCTTTTTAGGACTTACATATTATTCGATTCAAACATATTTTTGAATCGAATTCTCAGTCTTGATTGAAATGTTTTGAAATGAACAGGATTTATGATGCAGGCAACCATAGAAATAGTTATATTTTTTTTGTGGGTTTTTCTCTTCAGGATGTTTCACTTATTGGCTAACGCTGATTTAAAATCAGGGAGAAGTCTGTAAATCCCAACCTTATACTGTAGTAAAGCTGATAAAATAACTTGGATGGTTAAATAGTATCACAACAGCAGATTGTGTAGAGCAGCTCTAATGAATGGCTGCAATTATGGTTTAGCTTTGATTAAAAAGCAACAGTGTTCTTATGATGGAAAGCTTAATTTTCAAAGACAAACATCACTCAACATCTACAGTCTAATCATCTTACCTGTGGTGCAATGTTTTCATGAGGAACAGTTAGTTGAAGTACTAGGCTAACACTTACCTGTGTGAATTGTAGCACATGTTGATTATGAGCTTCCATTCTTAGGATGCAGGAAACAAAGTTTCTTTGCATTGTGAATCTATTAGAAAGACTGAGGAATGTCCAAGCACAGCAGACATTGCATGTCGCATGATGCAGACTGTGTGATCTGCTGCAGATGGTATAATGCAGCACCCAGAGACAGAAACATTTTATTTAAAACAACTGCACAGAGGTTGTAAAACACTTCTACATTCTGTCTGCTTAAACTATAGGGTTTGCTTCTAAGAAATTACAAATAGCCTCCAAATAACAGGTGTGGGTCACAGAGTTTAGCCAACACTATATGATCAGGTACCTGAAGTGTTAGGGGGATCAGTTTGGGGCATTATTTGGTTTTAAATTAACAAAATCACCTGAACAGAGTCCAGCTGCTGTTTTCATGCATTGTACTATAGATATAGCAACTTAATTGCTGGCATCTTTTAACCACACAAAACAGCTTTGTTGGCAAAAAAGGTGAAGCAGCCGATATCGTTTCAGATGCACAATTTTAAAGGCCGCATTCGTGTTTGGCATTTGAAGATCTCCCCACCTGCCTCCTCCTCCTCCACACAGGCATCAGCTGCAGTCAGTGCCAGAATGTCACACCTATCCCGAACGCTCAGAGATGACTCACTGCCAGGATCTCTTACAAAGCAGAGAGTAGGAATTTCTTAATGTGTCACGAACGCAGTGTCAGTCTGCTGGTGTGTGTGTGTGCAGTGGACTGATGATGCAGGACAGAGCTGCTCCAAGGGTGCATTTCAAATGCTGCACAACTTTTATTTTCTCAAATTTGTTTTCCACTTCTTGAATTTCTTTTTTTTTTTCTCCGTGTCATTTTAAGCATTGACCATTTTGGATGGACTAATGAAATTAAGGTGGTTCAAGGATAAACAAAAGGTAAAAGGTGTTGCTGAAGAAGACGTTTCAGTTTGCCGGCTGAGCAGCATAGAGTAGCACCATTAAAGTGTTTCAGCACAGTCAGTCCCTGTTTGCTCTGCATTAAAATAAGCAGCAGTTCCATGTTATAAGATGCATAAGACTGTTCAGTTACATTTTTAAGCAGAGAAGCAGAGCTGCATGCACTTCAGAAGCTGAAGAAGGCTGCAGCTGACCTACATCTCTATTGGCAGGAATGTACTGTAAATATCCCTCTGATGGTAATTGGGAAGTATGAGTTGTGCATGTTGCTGGGTCCATGCGCCTGGAACAAGTCAAGCCCTGTCGCAGCAGCATGCAAGGGGTCCTATGGCCCTGTCCCACTTTCTATATACGTAGAAATTTATAGCAGCGTCACCACCGGATCCCTCAAGATGTTGGCAGAATCGTAGGAGGGAACAGAGAGGAGGCTGCAGAGGAAGAGGGGTGTACAGCTGAAACGAGCAAGCAGGAGCACACATAAAAGCCAGATTTTTTAGAATACCACTTGTCAGCTTAACGGAGAGTGGGCGTAGTGAGTCACAGGGTTGCCCATGAAGACCCAGTAATGAAGAGGATGGGAAACTTCCATTTTTAAGACTTCTTTCTGGGGGTTTCTTTTTGTTTTTGCATGATTCATATAAATTCAATATTTTTTAATTTTATACATCACAGCCGCTCTAAGTCGAACATGCATTTGATCTATACGGAAGGTTAACGTGAAGACTTAATTTAAGTAAAGCTTCACAACTGTTTTAAGTCGCTCTTAATATATCCAGTATATCAAAGCCTCATAGCTTATGCAACATCTCGTCATATTTATCTGAAAAATCTTGTCACTTCAGCTAATTTGGATTAAATATAAAACAAGTTATTGCTGAGAATGTAAAAAGGCTGAAATTAACTAAAGAAAAATCATAAAAGGTTCTTAAAAATATTTACAAACATAAACCTAAAAACTGGTTGCATGCTTTATTTGTATCTGAAGAAAACCCAGCAGAACAAATTGTTTACAGATTTTATTGAAGTGGAAAAAGATTTCTCTGGTCTTAAGCTGAGTTTGAGAGAAATAAAACCGATCATAAAGAACTAAGAGATCAACAAGTGAGGGATAAAATTGTTTAGATTTTACACCAGAGTTAAATATATACACTTTTTTCCGGGATTTAAACATCTTAAAGAGCCAACCCATGATGTAAAAATGGAAGGAGGAGCATGCCCAACCGCAAACTTACAAGGATGCATTGCATTCCACAAATGGAGCATTTAGAGAACGGTAGAATAAAGAATGTGAAATAAACAAATGTCTGTTTTCTACAAGCCACATGAAATATATTAATTGTTCATGGAGATGCCCTAATCAGAAGGGACTAACATTACATATGTTGTTCAACATGCTTGGTGAAATACACTACATATCCTCCTGAACACAGGATCCCCAGGATAACTTCATGTTATTATCAAATAATCAGATTTGCTGTTTATAAAAAAATTGGAAAATCTGGATTTTTTTTAACCAAAGCACTGTCTGAGTTTCCATTGTTCAGAATAATGTCTGGCTGTCACTTTTTATTCTTAAATTATGAATTGTCTAACACAATTATTCTTTTTAAGCAAGTTTCACAACTTGTATTTAGTTGCGCTTTGAGTTGAGGTCAACTTTCGGTGAGGATGGCTTAAAGAAAAGCAGGTTTTCATAAGTAATTTCTGCCATTCAACATTTCTTTTCATGAAACAAGGGAGGGGGAAAAATCAATTAGTCAGATTATGTATGGGGGAAAAAAGATATCTGTAAGTCATATCACCCAGCCCTAATGGTAATTCATAGAGGTTGCAACATCATGCTGTGGGAATGCTTTTCTTCAGTACGGACAAGGAAGCTGGTCATAGCTCATGGGAAGATGGACAGAGCTAAATACAAGACGAACATAAAAACTGCAACAAACTAAAAATTAAAGCACTGGTTCAGGAACTCTAAATACACAGCCAGAACTAAAAGAGCCTTGTAAATTATGTGTGGGTGTCAGAACGGCCTAGTCAAAGTTCAATACTTAACCGGAATCTGTGGAAAGACTTGGAAAGTGACCCTCCAGCCAGTCTGACTAAGCTTTAATTTCTTTTAAATCATGACCAAAGAATGTGTCTCCAGAACTTGTAAAGACAAAATCCCAAAAGATCTGGAGCTTTACTTTCTGCAAAAGGAGGGTTAACAAAGTATGGATTTGGGACCCCAATAAAAACTTTTTACAAATATAAATGAAAATCATGTAGGCTACACCTTTCCTTCCATATTCCAAATCTGCACTACGCTGGACTTGTGCACCACTTTAGATGTCAATAAAATACATTCATGTTTGTTGTTGAATTATGCTTGAATGTGACCTAGTTTAGC